TTGGCATATTGTCGGGTAAAACCTAAGTCTTTTTATGGGGGGTTTTTAATACATTTTGGAGAGAGGTTTAGGGGTGCAGGATACACAAAATAGATGAGGTATTCTAGAGCAGTGGTTCTCAACCTGTGTAACCTCGGGGCCCACATTTCTCCTTGGTCATTAAGTCACGCCCCAAGTTGCACTGCAATAGAATGCACAGCAATGCGGTATTGCACGTTCCAGTGTGGGCGATGAAACTGCGGGTGGGAGGTGCGTTTGGGGTGCCATTCAAAAGATCCACCCAGTCTCTATACCTATACAAGAACTGGAGTTGATCCTCAGCCTGGGGCCCAGTGTGGGCTGCTGTACTGTGACGGAGCTCCATCCATATGTGCATGGCTTGTACAGCTCCCTTTGCATGCCCCGTAGGTAGCCAGAATGTGACATCACTCTGGTCCAAGCACCTCTACAGGACACGTGAGGGAGCTGTACATATGCATGGAGCTCCTTCACGACCATAGCCCCAGTCCATCCCACCTCAAGCTGACACTCGGCACCGAGTTTGAATGGCTGTTTGGCGCGAGAACTGACAGTGCTGCGCTAGGGGGAGACTGATGAGCTTTCCACCTAGAAAAGTGGAAGACACACGGCGAGCCACTGAACATGGGGTCGCGACCCACTTTTGGGTCACGACCCACCAGTTGAGAACCAAGGTTCTAGAGGCAGATAGTATAGTTGGTGTGGGCCATTGACATCCAGTGGTCCAAGGTCCAGTGACATCCCTTTTTCTGCAAGTAGATTCTAAGCCTTTGAGCGGCATGCAAGCAGTCACAGGAACCTTAGTAGATTGAGCTGGGAGAACGTCTTGCAATGTCCACTAACATTGGCTCTCTCTGATCATCATCTTTGAATCTATGTTAGGACTTCATTGCTGGAACAACTAGAAACAAGGCGATGGATACAGGTCGTCAGTAGGTCAAACATAGTTACATAGTTACATAGTATTTGGGGTTGAATAAAGACATACGTCCATCAAGTCCAACCCATATAGGTCCACGCATCATCTCATTCTTAGGGATACTGGTATCCCTGGATATTACGGTCCCTCAAGAAATTGTCCAAAATTTTCTTGAACAATTCTACACTCTTGGCTGAGATGACGGCCGGTGGCAGTGAGTTCCAGACCTTAACCGCTCTTACTGTGAAGAACCCCCTTTGCCCATTGTGCTGGATTTTTTTCTCCACCAACTTTAGGTGGTGGCCTCTAGTCTTTGTAATGGAGTTAATCTCAAACAGTTTGTTGCCAATGTTGCTGTCACCAATGAACATCTTGTACATGAAAATCATATCCCCCCTTAATCTCCTTAATTCCAGCGTAAAAATGTTTAAATTCAGAAGCCTTGTCTCATAGCTCTGGTCCTCTTGTCTCATAGCTCTGGTCCTCCAGCCCCTACTCCTTGTCTCATAGCTCTGGTCCTCCATTCGCCTAACTAGTTTTGTTGCCCTCCGCTGGACTCTCTCCAGTTCATGGACATCCCTTATCAGTACCGGCGACCAAAACTGGACCGCGTACTCCAGATGTGGCCGAACCAACGATCTATATAGAGGCAAAATTATAGACTTATAGAGATTATGAAAGAGTGCAGTAGCGGTGGTGAAGCTGTTGTCAACAAAAATAGGGTGCCCACTAAGAAAGGGGAGCCCAGAACAGAAGATCTACATGTATTGTATAATAAGTCTAAGTGTCCAAAGTATTGTAATAATGATATTAATTCAAAACAAACAAGAAACATCACACCCGTTTCAGGGGCTCAGAGATCCCCCCCCCCCTTCCTCTTGGGTTAGGTGTGATAACTGTTTTGCTGCCGAGAATTCTATTATCTTTCCAATCTCATATGTATTCCACATTGTCTTCTCCAGGTTGTATACTGACTGATCCTGCGCACATTTCTCCCTCTGACGCCCCCAGTTATGCACCAGTGGAAGACCTACAGCCATCGTACTATCAAGGTCACCACCAACCCGGCACCCCCCACCTGACTTCCATTTCTAGCACCCAGAACTTCACCCCTACTGTCCAGTGCCCCACCCCGGTCTGCTGTGCTCACTGCCACACCTTGCCATCCGTCACCAAGAGCCAACCGGTCAACAGCACCGTCAGCCACCACGTCAACTTCACCCATTCCACCACCATCAAGCAGCAGGCAGTGCAGCCCCTACAGTACAGTGCGACCAAGGAGCAGAAATGTCTCTCCCGCCCCCTGAGGGTCATCCAGCCATGGCTGTCCCAGCAGCCACAAAGTGAACACGACAGCTCATCTTACTGGTCAGAGAGCCAGCAGCAGAGAGCGGCCGCTGTCCAGCCCACCGTACAGACTGTGGCCCCTATCTGCGCCGTGACAACTCAGGATTTCAGCCAAGTGCACACGACCATCCCGCTGACAACGGCGGCCTCCCTGCAGGCCCCATCAGTGCAGATGCAACTTGGCCCAGTGCACAGTGTCAGTCATGTGCAGCAGCAGCAGCGACAGCAGGGCCAGGCCCAGACAGCACTGGGCCCATCTGACCCTGGCCACGAGCAGGTCATGCACCACAGCTTGGACCTCATTAACCAGCAGTTTGAGCTGGAGCAAATGCAGAAGGGCCTGGAGCTTCTACTGCAGAGCCAGCCGTCCAATGTGCAGCTCAACCAGAGCAAACAGCCCCAGCACGTCCAACAAACCATCGTAGGCCAAATCAACTACATTGTGCGTCAGCCAGCTCCGGTGCCCCTACAGAGTCAGGAGGACGTGGCGCCGGTCAGTTTACTTTTTCCTCATTTTGTTTCAAAAGAGAAACTCAAATGTGTTTAAGAATATTATACATGTTTGTCCTTTTTGGTTCAAATTAGTGTATCTTTATTCAGCCTAAGGCCAATGTCACACAGGCCAAAGGCCAATGTCTGCTGCAGAAGCACCTAGGAGAGCCTTCCACTTACCTCTATGGAATTTCTCCTTCACTGCTGCCAGATCTCCCTTGATAACGAGGGGGCAGTGAGAGAGTGACCCCCATAGAAACTGGTAAGCAGCCTCTTAGTGATCCTGTGGCTAGTGAGTTGTCATCTGCTAATGAATTCGTTATGTGACATGGTCCTAAAGCTGTGTTTTCAGTGGCTACTCATTTTCTTATTATTATGATACATACTTAAAATAACTTTTTGGAACATCTATATTTTTGCTCGCTTGCTGCTTCATGTTCTGTTTATCTCAGTTACACAATACACCTGAATGCTTAAAGTCACCCAATCATCACACTTATGTAAGCTTGTTGGACATCACATTCCAAAACCATGGCCATGGATATTATTGAGTTGACCCTTCCCCTATGGCCATGAACATAGAGTTTCTCCCTCCATGGCCATTAATATAGAGTTCCCCCCTCCATGGCCATCAATATGGAGTTTCCCCTCCCCATGGCCATGACATTGTCTCCCATGTGGCTATACCAACCACCGCCATTCTTTTGGGATGGCTTCCCATAAGATTTTGGAGGGTTTCTCTGGGAATTTGGGCCCATTTGTGAGGTCAGGTACTGATGCTGGATGAGAAGACCCGGCTCACAATCGGCATTCCAAATCGTCCCAAAGGTGTTCAGTAGCATTAAGATTGTGGAGGTGGTGAGGGGCCCCATGTATGAACAGTAAGCATTGGAAGCTTCAGCTGGTTGTAGAACAATGATCAATTTATCGGTGTAGAACATAAAACATGGCCAGCGTGCTTTACATGTGGCTCCCTTTCTTCAAGGCTTTGGCATTGCTAGAACTGTTGGTCATGGGGACCGCAGACTGTGTCCTAATATAATGTCAGTATTCTGAAGTATCTGTTGGGCCTGCAGCTACAACTCCATTCTTCTGGGAAGGTTTTCCACAAGATTTTGGGTGTCTGTGGGAATTTGTCCCATCTATGAGGTCAGGTACTGATGTTGGGTGAGAAGATGTGGCTCACTATTGGTGTTCCTCTTCACCACAAAGGTGTTCAGTAGGGTTGGGGTCAGAGCTCTGTGCAGGACACTCGAGTTCCTCCACCAAACTGGTCACACCATGTCTTTATGGAGCTGGCTTTGTACACAGGGGACAGTCATGGGGGGGACAGAAAAGGGTCTTCACCAAACTGTGACCACAAGGCTGGAAGAGCACAATGGTCTACAATGTCTTTGTATGATGTACTACCCTTATTTATTACAAGTATTAATATAGTGCCGAAAATTTACACAGTGCTTTATATGCACATTCACATCAGCCCCTGCCCTCAAGGAGCTTACAATCTAAGGTCCCTATCACACACACACACAGACAGGGCCAATTTACCTTCCAGCATGTCTTTGGGGTGTGGGAGGAAACCCGTGCAAGAGCAGGGGGAACATTCAAACTCCTTGCAGATAGTGTCCAGGTCTGAATTTGAACGGGGGCCCGCCAATGCTGCAAGGCAAAAGTGCTAACCACTATGACACCCTTTCACAGGGGACACCTGAGCTCCATCACTTGGAGGGGTTCACATACTTTTGACCATTATTTGTGTGTATATATACTGTATCTAGAATTGTAGATTCCGCAGGTGCGGAAATGTGTTCATCACCCTTGCTGAAGTACTGCTGAGGCCAGATAATTTAGATGCACTATAGTTTTCAATTGATTTGTTTCAGACTGATTAACCCCTTAACATGGAACAGAAGAAATCTTAATGCCCGAGGAGGTGGAAGAGTTTCGGCTGTCACAGTGATCATGTGATCGGGAGCCTGTCCTACTGGCACTTGACTGTCACTCTGCGACAGGGAGCTGTCAGTTGTTGAGCGCAAAACAACAATGCATATATGTGGCAGCATGGACTAAGGCTCACCTCTGTGCTGGCGCCTATATGTATACAGGAAGGGGTTAAGTTAGAGAAAGTGCAATCACTGTGCAGCACTACAGAACAAGTAGCAGATATTTACTAGATTCGCCACTCGGGGACTCAAGTCAGTTTTTTATTTCTTTCGTTTTTATTTCTCTATGTGTCCCCATTAGGCAAATTTTTCCTCCTCGCCTCTCCTTGTGACACCCGTACAAGGAAAAGCCTATTTTTTTTTTTTTTTACTGAAAATGTATAAAGAATATAGTTTCCCTTTTAGACTCTGCATGTTTTCTGTGCACCTCTCTGATCCTGTGTCCCAACATTGATCCTATTGCTGTGTTCACAGGTCTGTGATGACCCCATATCTCCTGGAGGCCACACGGTCGATCTGTCCCCCGTCACCAGCCATTCTCCTGGTATCTCCCAAACCCAGTCTATAGCAGACGAGATCATTGCTGCAGTGGAGAATGATGCGTGTCGGCGGAATCAGCTTAACGCCAGTCCCGCCAGGAAGGTATGTAGCCCGACCGCCATGTAAGGAACACATTGAGGGGAAATTATCAAAACTGGAGCAGACAAAAACTGGGCTAGATGTGCAGCGGAACCAATCATCTTCTCTTGAAAATGAAAGAGAGAAGCTGATTGGTTGCCATGCACTTCTGCTCCAGTTTTGATAGACTCCCCCCATTGTGTGTGCATTTTTATATTTCCGACTGTAAGCCGCAGCATGCACATGCAATACATGTTGTAAGTCACTTCACAGCAGCTGAGAGCAAGGCGAGGGGATATCAGCGCACAATAAAAGTGCCGGAATAGAGCTGAGATTTTTCCCTCTGCTGCATGTGACTAAATAAATAAATAATGTCTGTGGCCAGGATCTGCCGCGGTCCTCATCCCCCTGCTCCTGTAATTGGCTCACTTCCTTCCTCGAGCTTTGTACAAGGAGATCACTTTATATTCAGCCGGTTCTATGGAATCAGGTATCCCCAACATCAGGTGTGACCTGAATAAAGTGTATATAACCAATAATCCTCTTATCAGTTAACAATGTTACCAGCAATCTCAGTGAACTACAAAGCAACTCCCTGTATACCATGATAATAAGGAGTGGGGGAGGTTCTGTAGTCTTGTCGTAGGGTGACAGACAATGTTGCTCCTCTATAAATACAGTAAGGTGAGTGAGCATTGTCACCCTAATACGGGGAATGTTAAAAAAAACTGGTTCAGCCACCACATCTAAGGACTGGTAAACTGCAACATATGAGTTTTTTGATTTTGGGTTTAAATGCACTTTAACCAGTTTTGGACACTGAGTGTACTACACATGCCCAAAACAAACTTCATCCAAGTATACGGGGTGTGTGTAGAATGTCCTGTATATCTGCAGCTTCATCCCTTCCACATGCCACCTATTTCTGATGCAGTTACTGTGTGAATACAAAGCTGTAGAAGCCGCTGCTGTCAAAACAGGCATTGTCTGACTGTTTATAAACATTAGAGAGATACAAAGTAACATTGTTTATAAACATTGATCAGAGGGAGATAGAGAGATACAAAGTAACGTTGTTTATAAACATTGATCAGAGGGAGATAGAGAGATACAAAGTAACATTGTTTATAAACATTGATCAGAGGGAGATAGAGAGATACAAAGTAACATTGTTTATAAACATTGATCAGAGGGAGATAGAGAGATACAAAGTAACATTGTTTATAAACATTGATCAGAGGGAGATAGAGAGATACAAAGTAACATTGTTTATAAACATTGATCAGAGGGAGATAGAGAGATACAAAGTAACATTGTTTATAAACATTGATCAGAGGGAGATAGAGAGATACAAAGTAACATTGTTTATAAACATTGATCAGAGGGAGATAGAGAGATACAAAGTAACATTGTTTATAAACATTGATCAGAGGGAGATAGAGAGATACAAAGTAACATTGTTTATAAACATTGATCAGAGGGAGATAGAGAGATACAAAGTAACATTGTTTATAAACATTGATCAGAGGGAGATAGAGAGATACAAAGTAACATTGTTTATAAACATTGATCAGAGGGAGATAGAGAGATACAAAGTAACATTGTTTATAAACATTGATCAGAGGGAGATAGAGAGATACAAAGTAACATTGTTTATAAACATTGATCAGAGGGAGATAGAGAGATACAAAGTAACATTGTTTATAAACATTGATCAGAGGGAGATAGAGAGATACAAAGTAACATTGTTTATAAACATTGATCAGAGGGAGATAGAGAGATACAAAGTAACATTGTTTATAAACATTGATCAGAGGGAGATAGAGAGATACAAAGTAACATTGTTTATAAACATTGATCAGAGGGAGATAGAGAGATACAAAGTAACATTGTTTATAAACATTGATCAGAGGGAGATAGAGAGATACAAAGTAACATTGTTTATAAACATTGATCAGAGGGAGATAGAGAGATACAAAGTAACATTGTTTATAAACATTGATCAGAGGGAGATAGAGAGATACAAAGTAACATTGTTTATAAACATTGATCAGAGGGAGATAGAGAGATACAAAGTAACATTGTTTATAAACATTGATCAGAGGGAGATAGAGAGATACAAAGTAACATTGTTTATAAACATTGATCAGAGGGAGATAGAGAGATACAAAGTAACATTGTTTATAAACATTGATCAGAGGGAGATAGAGAGATACAAAGTAACATTGTTTATAAACATTGATCAGAGGGAGATAGAGAGATACAAAGTAACATTGTTTATAAACATTGATCAGAGGGAGATAGAGAGATACAAAGTAACATTGTTTATAAACATTGATCAGAGGGAGATAGAGAGATACAAAGTAACATTGTTTATAAACATTGATCAGAGGGAGATAGAGAGATACAAAGTAACATTGTTTATAAACATTGATCAGAGGGAGATAGAGAGATACAAAGTAACATTGTTTATAAACATTGATCAGAGGGAGATAGAGAGATACAAAGTAACATTGTTTATAAACATTGATCAGAGGGAGATAGAGAGATACAAAGTAACATTGTTTATAAACATTGATCAGAGGGAGATAGAGAGATACAAAGTAACATTGTTTATAAACATTGATCAGAGGGAGATAGAGAGATACAAAGTAACATTGTTTATAAACATTGATCAGAGGGAGATAGAGATACAAAGTAACATTGTTTATAAACATTGATCAGAGGGGGAGATAGAGAGATACAAAGTAACATTGTTTATAAACATTGATCAGAGAGGAGATAGAGAGATACAAAGTAACATTGTTTATAAACATTGATCATAGGGAGATAGAGATACAAAGTAACATTGTTTATAAACATTGATCAGAGGGAGATAGAGAGATACAAAGTAACATTGTTTATAAACATTGATCAGAGGGGAGATAGAGAGATACAAAGTAACATTGTATATAAACATTGATCAGAGGGAGATAGAGATACAAAGTAACATTGTTTATAAACATTGATCAGAGGGAGATAGAGAGATACAAAGTAACATTGTTTATAAACATTGATCAGAGGGAGATAGAGATAATTCTCGCCTCATAATTCTCTTTTTTTTACAAAAAAAAAGTTGTTGGCTTTGTTTTCCCCCTTTTTTTAAATAAACTTTATTTCTATTTATCCTAACTAACTCCTTCCTCTTCTCCCCTTTAATATTTTTGTTCCTGCTGATTTTTTTTTGCATTTCCATTTTTACAAATATTAATATTTAAACTTTTTTTTCCATTTGTATTCGTATTGTTTGTTTATCCTTTTATTGTTGCATTAAAAAAGTGCACAATCTAAAAAAAACTTTATTTGTAATTTTGTAAACAACTTTGCAACGCTTTGTACCAGAATCACAATTTCAGTGTATTCTAACTTCAATATAATCTTAAACCATGAAATTAATTTTAATAACAAGCTGCACTTTTCTTGCTTTGCAGCGCTCAGCCTCGGAAAGTTTCTCCAATTCCCCTGAGCCGGGGTTATCGTCGCCCCGCCTGTCGCGCTCGGCGGACCCCCAGATGCAGCCAGTGCCATGCCAGTTTTTCGTCCAGCCAGCTGACAGATGTTACAGCGCAGAAGCAGAACCAGAGAGAATCTCTGCTTTCGGACAAGTGGAAGCAGCTGTGAGCGAGAGCATGCACTTAGAACCCAACGATCACCTAGCAACAGGGGGCGCTCTCCTGGGAAATGCTATATGTAAGGTATGATTTGCTGCCCCTCTGGAGGCTTCAGACACAAACATTAGCTGAGCTCAGAGACCTCTCCTGCTGCGACATTGTGTACAGTCACAGCTTTCCCTGAGCCTGTCTCCCGGGAATCTTATTCTAGAATAACAGAGAGAGAGATTGCTACACATGTAATCATATTATTGTCACTGATCTGCTATGGTTCTTCATTATTGGATGCCCATCTTCTGCAGAGGGGGGGGCACTCCGACTTACACTGGATTCACAATGGGGTCAGAGGGGGTGACCATTATTTTGCAGAATTAATTACATGCACAAGAGGGAGCAATTAGCTTATTAGGACATTAACCCTTTAATGACCGAAGGTCATTGAACCTGGATGCTCAGCAGTAACAGTACGGGGTTGATTTACTAACCTTATAAACACGCCACGAACAAGTATACACCTCTGTAGTGTGTTCCCTCCCAGCATGATCTATGGGTGGAATCTAAACACCTTTGTAGTGTGTACACACCCAGCACGTGTGTTGTGCAAAGCCCTGCATGAATTGCAAGGTGATGTTGTGTAAATTAGCTCTACATTGTGTTGCTTGCGTTGATGAATGCAGGAATGTAAATGCATTAGCTAACCATTTTTGTCTAAACTGTGAAGCAGCATTATATATGCATCATGTGCATGATTTTTCCATATATGGCATTAGTGGAAATATGCTTTTAGAGACTTTTTGGTTGATAAATACGTTTTGCAGTGTAAAAATCACACGCACCTGGTGCGTGCGTGTGTTTAGGTTAGTAAATCACCCCCAGAGTGTCTGTTAACTATAAGTCTATTACTAATTTACACAGCAATATACACATTGTACAGCAACACTATATATTTTCAGACAAGCTCAACCTTTTATCACTAAAAAAACCGCTGGCTCTGCCTAGGATGAGATGATGTTAGTCTAGTCTACTGCAGGCAGGGTGAAGCATTTCCTCAGTCTCCCCTCCCCCAGTGATCAGTCTGCTGCAGGCATGATGAAGCATTTTCTCAGTCTCCCCTCCCCCGGTGATCAGTCTGCTGCAGGCACAAGGAAGCATTTCCTCAGTCTCAACACTATATATTTTCAGACAAGCTCAACCTTTTATCACTAAAAAAACCGCTGGCTCTGCCTAGGATGAGATGATGTTAGTCTAGTCTACTGCAGGCAGGGTGAAGCATTTCCTCAGTCTCCCCTCCCCCAGTGATCAGTCTGCTGCAGGCATGATGAAGCATTTTCTCAGTCTCCCCTCCCCCGGTGATCAGTCTGCTGCAGGCACAAGGAAGCATTTCCTCAGTCTCAACACTATATATTTTCAGACAAGCTCAACCTTTTATCACTAAAAAAACCGCTGGCTCTGCCTAGGATGAGATGATGTTAGTCTAGTCTACTGCAGGCAGGGTGAAGCATTTCCTCAGTCTCCCCTCCCCCAGTCATCAGTCTGCTGTAGGCATGAGGAAGCATTTCCTCAGTCTTCCCTCCCCCAGTGATCATTCACAAGGTGAGAGGCTGCAGCAGGAGCTGATCTATGTAATTTGTGAACACAGCCATCATATCATACATTAAAACAGAGATGTACAAATTCCGGGAGCTCCGTGTGCTCCTTACACATGACAGCGGCCTCCTAACTTTTGAGGTTTTCTCTAGTCTAGTCTTGGAGCTGGAAAAGTATCGGTACTTGTACTTGTACCGAGTGCTGTAGTTGGTATCGGTGCATCCCTAATGTTGACAGTTACACAGACACTGAACATGCCAACAAAGGGCTTATGGAACACAATAAATCTCCCTAGTGATATAGGCATCTGATTTATATTTATGTATATATATATATTTTCTGATACATTAGTGCAACCGTCTTTTATGAATGTAACTTGATTACAGCTAGAAATATGAAATATGAACCAGAGTTGGCCTTTGGTAGTTAAAAAAAACACAGACTAGAATGTCTAGTGCTTTAAAATGCTCTTCTAGTCTATTTATGACATGGGAAATTTACAACATGCTGCTTTGCTTCTATAGGTTGTTTTAACGAGATTTATAACAACTCTGCTTTCCATCTAACTTTCTCTGCTATGTGTCTTAATCTGAGTTTGTTTCTAGTGAAGGTTGTTTATAAAATGAGTCAGTAGCTCAGGCTTTCCACCACAGTCATTGGGTATAAATCTGACCCTTTTGCCATCAACTTGTGCATTTTGGAGAAATTAGGGTGGCACTGTGTGCAGTACACGTCCACATTCTCTCCACCCAGTTTGGGGCTCGTCAGACCTCATTAATCTTATGTCTATCCCAACTACACCCACAAACATATTGGTTTGGAGATAGATTCTAAAACATGGTTACATTCCAGAGAGTGTTGTATGTTCAGATTGTTTTACCCCCTTTCCTGTATTCCATTTTTTCCTTCCAGATTGAGAATGAGAATTTCAGCTGCGGTGAGCCTCCAGCTGAGCCCCCTTTGGCTAATGACAACACATCCTCCCTGAATGACATTGTCCTGCCACTGGAAAATATGTTCGAGGAGCCCATAAATCTGTCTCTTAAGAAATGTTTTCCAAGGGAACACCCGCCAGCTCCCAGGAAAATCGTCACTCCTCCCCAGCCTGTTATCAAGGAGATCAAAAACGAGGCCGGTATGTTGAACTGTCTAAAACGTCTTACTTGTGTGATTACCCAACTCCAAATGCACAAATGCTAGAGGTTCCATATCACAATGTCCAAAACCTGGATCAGGACTAGAGGTGGGGATTAGGGACGAGCCAATTTACTTGAGTTTGCTTTGGAAACTGTTTCAGGAATCTTGCTCAAAGTTTGAAGTTTGTGAACATTGCCCCGGACCACATTGAAGTCTATGGAGGACAAATCTTGCCAGCTCTTATCAAGCAAAGGGACTGGGAAGCCGAGCATAGCAATGGGGGACCTGTGCCAATGGGGAACCTGTGCATTGGGGGACCTGTGCCATTAGGGGGCCTGTGCCAATGGGGGACCTGTGCCAATGGGGGGCCTGTGCCAATGGGGGACCTGTGCCAATGGGGGACCTGTGCCATTGGGAGGCCTGTGCCACCAATGGGGGACCTGTGCCATTGGGAGGCCTGTGCCAATGAGGGACCTGTGCCATTGGGGGACCTGTGCCAATGAGGGACCTGTGCCAATGGGGGACCTGTGCCAATGGGGGACCTGTGCCATTGGGAGGCCTGTGCCACCAATGGGGGACCTGTGCCATTGGGGGGTCTGTGCCAATTGGGGACCTGTGCCATTGGGGGACCTGTGCCATTGGGAGGCCTGTGCCCCGGACCACATTGAAGTCTATGGAGGACAAATCTTGCCAGCTCTTATCAAGCAAAGGGACTGGGAAGCCGAGCATAGCAATGGGGGACCTGTGCCAATGGGGAACCTGTGCATTGGGGGACCTGTGCCATTAGGGGGCCTGTGCCAATGGGGGACCTGTGCCAATGGGGAACCTGTGCATTGGGGGACCTGTGCCATTAGGGGGCCTGTGCCAATGGGGGACCTGTGCCAATGGGGAACCTGTGCATTGGGGGACCTGTGCCATTAGGGGGCCTGTGCCAATGGGGGACCTGTGCCAATGGGGAACCTGTGCATTGGGGGACCTGTGCCATTAGGGGGCCTGTGCCAATGGGGGACCTGTGCCAATGGGGAACCTGTGCATTGGGGGACCTGTGCCATTAGGGGGCCTGTGCCAATGGGGGACCTGTGCCAATGGGGAACCTGTGCATTGGGGGACCTGTGCCATTAGGGGGCCTGTGCCAATGGGGGACCTGTGCCAATGGGGAACCTGTGCATTGGGGGACCTGTGCCATTAGGGGGCCTGTGCCAATGGGGGACCTGTGCCAATGGGGAACCTGTGCATTGGGGGACCTGTGCCATTAGGGGGCCTGTGCCAATGGGGGACCTGTGCCAATGGGGAACCTGTGCATTGGGGGACCTGTGCCATTAGGGGGCCTGTGCCAATGGGGGACCTGTGCCAATGGGGAACCTGTGCATTGGGGGACCTGTGCCATTAGGGGGCCTGTGCCAATGGGGGACCTGTGCCAATGGGGAACCTGTGCATTGGGGGACCTGTGCCATTAGGGGGCCTGTGCCAATGGGGGACCTGTGCCAATGGGGAACCTGTGCATTGGGGGACCTGTGCCATTAGGGGGCCTGTGCCAATGGGGGACCTGTGCCAATGGGGAACCTGTGCATTGGGGGACCTGTGCCATTAGGGGGCCTGTGCCAATGGGGGACCTGTGCCAATGGGGAACCTGTGCATTGGGGGACCTGTGCCATTAGGGGGCCTGTGCCAATGGGGGACCTGTGCCAATGGGGAACCTGTGCATTGGGGGACCTGTGCCATTAGGGGGCCTGTGCCAATGGGGGACCTGTGCCAATGGGGAACCTGTGCATTGGGGGACCTGTGCCATTAGGGGGCCTGTGCCAATGGGGGACCTGTGCCAATGGGGAACCTGTGCATTGGGGGACCTGTGCCATTAGGGGGCCTGTGCCAATGGGGGACCTGTGCCAATGGGGAACCTGTGCATTGGGGGACCTGTGCCATTAGGGGGCCTGTGCCAATGGGGGACCTGTGCCAATGGGGAACCTGTGCATTGGGGGACCTGTGCCATTAGGGGGCCTGTGCCAATGGGGGACCTGTGCCAATGGGGAACCTGTGCATTGGGGGACCTGTGCCATTAGGGGGCCTGTGCCAATGGGGGACCTGTGCCAATGGGGAACCTGTGCATTGGGGGACCTGTGCCATTAGGGGGCCTGTGCCAATGGGGGACCTGTGCCAATGGGGAACCTGTGCATTGGGGGACCTGTGCCATTAGGGGGCCTGTGCCAATGGGGGACCTGTGCCAATGGGGAACCTGTGCATTGGGGGACCTGTGCCATTAGGGGGCCTGTGCCAATGGGGGACCTGTGCCAATGGGGAACCTGTGCATTGGGGGACCTGTGCCATTAGGGGGCCTGTGCCAATGGGGGACCTGTGCCAATGGGGAACCTGTGCATTGGGGGACCTGTGCCATTAGGGGGCCTGTGCCAATGGGGGACCTGTGCCAATGGGGAACCTGTGCATTGGGGGACCTGTGCCATTAGGGGGCCTGTGCCAATGGGGGACCTGTGCCAATGGGGAACCTGTGCATTGGGGGACCTGTGCCATTAGGGGGCCTGTGCCAATGGGGGACCTGTGCCAATGGGGAACCTGTGCATTGGGGGACCTGTGCCATTAGGGGGCCTGTGCCAATGGGGGACCTGTGCCAATGGGGAACCTGTGCATTGGGGGACCTGTGCCATTAGGGGGCCTGTGCCAATGGGGGACCTGTGCCAATGGGGAACCTGTGCATTGGGGGACCTGTGCCATTAGGGGGCCTGTGCCAATGGGGGACCTGTGCCAATGGGGAACCTGTGCATTGGGGGACCTGTGCCATTAGGGGGCCTGTGCCAATGGGGGACCTGTGCCAATGGGGAACCTGTGCATTGGGGGACCTGTGCCATTAGGGGGCCTGTGCCAATGGGGGACCTGTGCCAATGGGGAACCTGTGCATTGGGGGACCTGTGCCATTAGGGGGCCTGTGCCAATGGGGGACCTGTGCCAATGGGGAACCTGTGCATTGGGGGACCTGTGCCATTAGGGGGCCTGTGCCAATGGGGGACCTGTGCCAATGGGGAACCTGTGCATTGGGGGACCTGTGCCATTAGGGGGCCTGTGCCAATGGGGGACCTGTGCCATTGGGAGGCCTGTGCCCCGGACCACATTGAAGTCTATGGAGGACAAATCTTGCCAGCTCTTATCAAGCAAAGGGACTGGGAAGCCGAGCATAGCAATGGGGGACCTGTGCCAATGGGGAACCTGTGCATTGGGGGACCTGTGCCATTAGGGGGCCTGTGCCAATGGGGGACCTGTGCCAATGGGGGGCCTGTGCCAATGGGGGACCTGTGCCAATGGGGGACCTGTGCCAATGAGGGACCTGTGCCAATGAGGGACCTGTGCCAATGAGGGACCTGTGCCAATGAGGGACCTGTGCCAATGAGGGACCTGTGCCAATGAGGGACCTGTGCCAATGAGGGACCTGTGCCAATGAGGGACCTGTGCCAATGAGGGACCTGTGCCAATGAGGGACCTGTGCCAATGAGGGACCTGTGCCAATGAGGGACCTGTGCCAATGAGGGACCTGTGCCAATGAGGGACCTGTGCCAATGAGGGACCTGTGCCAATGAGGGACCTGTGCCAATGAGGGACCTGTGCCAATGAGGGACCTGTGCCAATGAGGGACCTGTGCCAATGAGGGACCTGTGCCAATGAGGGACCTGTGCCAATGAGGGACCTGTGCCAATGAGGGACCTGTGCCAATGAGGGACCTGTGCCAATGGGGGACCTGTGCCAATGGGGGACCTGTGCCAATGCCACTAATTAAAAAAAATGTAGGAAAGCAATCTCCCTACGCAGAATCGTCAGCTCTCTCTAACAGGTCCAGAAGGATATAAATTGCATTACTTTTTTTGCCAGCAAATCTTTGAACTTCTTGGCCAAAAATGTTTAAAAATCCCTGGGATTTGCCAAGAACCTTTGGTAGCAGCGATCCTGAACCGGTTTGCCACATTTTTCCAAGCCAAATCACCATCACACAACAGAAGCACTGGTCCAAATGATGAGTCTCTTCATTTGGACCAGTGCTTCTGTTGTGTGATGGTGATTTGGCTTGGAAAAATGTGGCAAACCGGTTCAGGATCGCTGCTACCAAAGGTTCTTGGCAAATCATAGATCTTGGCATTATGTGAGCGGCTTCATCAGGGCCAAATACGTTTTGAAGTCCCAGCACCTCTCGGATATTTTGTTTTTGGGGACTGCCAGACTGAGTCACATTTGCCTCTTGTCTGACATCTAAATGCCCCATTCTTCTCTGGGCAATCCAGATCTCAAGAACATGTCAGTGTTACATTTGTAAGCAGCAATCACATTCTAATGCCAAATCATTGAATTACTCTGGATGTCTGTGGAGACCCACCACTGTTGTATTGCAAAATGAGCAAACAGTGTGGCCTAGAAATCTGGGGTTCTTCACTAGAGGGATCCCCAGCAGGAGGAAGGAGCTCCTGATCCCTCTATATAGATCTTTATTATCACTAGAGGGATCTCCAGCAGGAGGTCCTGATCCCTCTATATAGATCTTTATTATCACTAGAGGGGTCCCCAGCAGGAGGAAGGAGCTCCTGATCCCTCTATATAGATCTTTATTATCACTAGAGGGATCCCCAGCAGGAGGAAGGAGGTCCTGATCCCTCTATATAGATCTTTATTATCACTAGAGGGATCCCCAGCAGGAGGAAGGAGGTCCTGATCCCTCTATATAGATCTTTATTATCACTAGAGGGATCCCCAGCAGGAGGAAGGAGGTCCTGATCCCTCTATATAGATCTTTATTATCACTAGAGGGATCCCCAGCAGGAGGAAGGAGGTCCTGATCCCTCTATATAGATCTTTATTATCACTAGAGGGATCCCCAGCAGGAGGAAGGAGGTCCTGATCCCTCTATATAGATCTTTATTATCACTAGAGGGATCCCCAGCAGGAGGAAGGAGGTCCTGATCCCTCTATATAGATCTTTATTATCACTAGAGGGATCTCCAGCAGGAGGAAGGAGGTCCTGATCCCTCTATATAGATCTTTATTATCACTAGAGGGATCCCCAGCAGGAGGAAGGAGGTCCTGATCCCTCTATATAGATCTTTATTATCACTAGAGGGATCCCCAGCAGGAGGAAGGAGGTCCTGATCCCTCTATATAGATCTTTATTATCACTAGAGGGATCCCCAGCAGGAGGAAGGAGGTCCTGATCCCTCTATATAGATCTTTATTATCACTAGAGGGGTCCCCAGCAGGAGGAAGGAGGTCCTGATCCCTCTATATAGATCTTTATTATCACTAGAGGGGTCCCCAGCAGGAGGAAGGAGGTATTTTTCTGTCGTCACTTTTCTTTGCTTCGGAACTATTATGGAAGTTGCATTGACATCACGGAATTTTCATGCAGATTCTGAAAACCATTTCAAGCCGCGGTATCCCGAGGACAGGAGGACCCAACAGGAAGCTCCCAGGTAGGAAATCTTATTTCTTTCTGTATTTTCCTGCACACAGCAGAGAACTGCGCAGTCCTTTGAAGGATCTGTTCTCTGAGCACCCCGGAGTCCTGTAGGCAGGGCCGGATTTCCCACAAGGCCAACCGAGGCCTGGCCTTGGGGTAGCAGGGAGTAGAGGGGCATCAGGGAGTAGAGGGGCAGCAGGGGGGAGAGGGGGAGGCGGGCGCAGAGGGGCCGCA